AAAATTGTAAACATCTCAAATAGAGAAAGCATACCAAAGCCCTCAACCTTTTATATGAAGATACTGTTAGTTTTCATTCATAGTTATAAACCACCTGAAGGTACACAAGGGTGATGGGCAGTATAGAAATTTTATAAATAAATAAGAAACGTTGGAATTTGTGCTCTGGCAGGACAAACAGGTCTAAATTTGCAATACTAAAATGCTGCTCTGTGAATATTGAAAAGTGCTGGGTTGCTACAACATACAATGTGCTGGAGCTGGAGCTATTTAAATCCCTCGCAATAGCTGAGTTGTAATTACAGTATATGATTAGTATAATATCATGTGAAACATTTTCCCCAAAATTAACTTCCACATTTCATGTTAAATATTTACTAGCTATTATCTAAAATAAATATATACTGTGCCAAATATCTGATAATTACAGATATGTAATTTCCGTATTTGATTTGGGTATTTGATATATTTGCAACATCTGCTAGCTGTCATGCAGTGGTATGTAGAATCAGATTCTGTAGAGGAAGTACAACAATAATTGATAAATTAATAATTTTTGAGATGCCTGCCAAAATCAATGCACCAGCAAGGCTAAACCATTCACATGCTGAATTTTAAAGTAACATTTTACATTCAGAATTTTTGCCTTAAATCTGAAATTTTGCATTCAAAATCTTCATGTTAAAATGGAAAATGTTCCATGGAAAATTTTATATCAATGTTTTATCTGAACACTTCAAAGGCAGTTTAGTAGGGTTAAAATACTATGGAGTTGGATTCACTTTGCAAATTGAAACAATGAACAGAAATTTAATATGTTGATGGCATTCAGTCATCCTCAACAGGCAGGCAGTTTTCGTCAATTATAATTCCACGGAAAATAGCTGTAGCTCTTGCAACTATAACTTCCAACCCAAGAATGACTTTTTTTAGAAGTTCTGTCCAGTCATGATAATTTGGAGAAGGCACAATAAAATAACAGATCAGTTATTTTACTTTAGTGCTGTTTGCACTAATTTCTTCTTTGGAGTAACAAAGCCTACAGAGCAAGTGGGAAGCTTTCACTGCTTGTGTGCATTTTTGTAAACAGAAAAAGTTCAGCACTTAATTGGTTGATGGTTCTCTCCAACCTCTAGATCAGCCTTCACCAACTAGATTCTGTGAGAAGTCACTAGGGGTACCATCAGAGATTGTGAATGAAAAGAAAATAAACTTCATTTTTTTGAACATTGTATGCTGCGTAATGCCAGCACCTGCAGTGTTGGGATTTTAAAAGTCCCATGGGTCAGCTGCTAGTCTGCTGGTATAATGTTGTAATATGTGGATTGTGTAGATTAAAAGCGAAATGAATTGTGAGGTTTTCATATGATTGTGATTTTTATACAGTATTTTCCTGAAATCTGAAAATTATTTGAAGGATGAATGGTTGAAAAAAGCTTCTCTAGACTGCCAACATAAAAAAAGGCCACGTTCACAGTCTTGATTGTTGGATAAATCTACAAAACGTCATATAATTCTGAATCAATCTCAAATGGATTATAAAATGGATTTATGGGAAGTGGAAGGTGGAAAGACCTCTCATCATAAAAAGAAAGACAGAGTAGTTCCAGTTCAAGAGAAATTGCATTGCATTGCATTGCATTGCATTGCATTGTACTGAGCCTTCCCAATGCAACCAAGCAATGTTGCGCTACATCAGGTGTGGATGTAACTGTCACTAGAGCTACAATAGTTTCACTATGCTGTATAATTAAAAATGGTTTAGGCTTCTAACTTTTCTTGTATGGTTAGCTACATTTTTTCAGTTCTTTGTGTATTATTTTTGTAATAAGTGTGCAAATGAATGAATTTGCACTCTTTCAAACACAGCAAAGTCCATATTTGGGACAGAGAGGACCACTGGTTTGAAAGAGGGGTCAAAGAGTTTCTGGGATGTTAAAAATTATTATCCCAATTTACCAAATAGATGGCAGCATATAGTCAGCCTGACCTCAATACCTGGGAAGATTCTGGAAAAGATAATCAAACAACAAATCAGCGAACACCTAGAGGTAAATAAAGTCATTACCAAAAGCCAACATGGGTTTGTCAAAAATAGATCATGCCAGAGAAATCTTATTGCATTCTTTGACCAAGTGACAAAATTAATGGACCAGAGGAATGCTGTGGATATAATTTACTTAGACTTCAGTAGGGCATTTGATAAAGTAGATCACAACCTACCATTTGATAAGATGGAAAAATGTGGGTTAGACAGCATCACCACCAGACGGATTCGTAGCTGGCTGACCGGCCGTACTCAGCATGTGGTCCTCAGTGGAACCGCATCTACATGGAGGGAAGTATAATGGGATGCCCCAGGGCTCTGTTCTGGGTCCAGTGCTCTTCAACATCTTCATCAACGATTTGGACGAGGGGATAGATGGGGAACTCATCAAATTTGCAGATGACACCAAGCTGGCAGGAATAGCCAACACTCCAGAAGACAGGCTTAGGATACAGAAGGATCTTGGCAGACTTGAACACTGGGCGCTATCTAACAAAATGAAATTCAATGGTGAAAAAAGTAAGGTTCTACATTTAGGCAAGAAAAACTAAATGCACAGGTATAGTATAGGTGGTACCTTGCTCAGTAGTAGTAACTGTGAAAGGGACCTCTGAGTCCTAGTGGACAATCAATTAAATATGAGCCAGCAGTGTGCTGCAGCTGCCAAAAAAGCCAACACAGTGCTAGGCTGCATTAACAGAGGGATAGAATCAAGATCACGTGAAGTGTTAATACCACTTTAAAATGCCTTGGTAAGGCCACATTTGGAATACTGCATCCAGTTTTGGTCACCACGATATAAAAAAGATGTTGAGACTTAGAAAGAGTACAGATAAGAGCAACACAGATGATTAGGGGACTGGAGGCTAAAACATATAAGGAACGATTGCTGGAATTGGGTGTGTCTAGTTTAATGAAGAGAAGGACTAGGGGTGACATGATAGCAGTGTTCCAATATCTCAGGGGCTGCCGCAAAGAAGAGGGAGTCAAGCTATTCTCCAAAGCACCTGAAGGCAGGACAAGAAGCAATGGATTGAAACTGACCAAAGAGAGAAGCAACCTAGAACTAAGGAGAAATTTCCTGACAGTTAGAACAATTAATCAGTGAAACAACCTGCCTCCAGAAGCTGTGAATGCTCCAACACTGGAAGTTTTTAAGAAGAGATTGGACACCCATTTGTCTGAAATGGTATAGGGTTTGGGGCTGGACTAGATGACTTCCAAAGTCCCTTCCAACTTTATTATTATTATTATTATTATTATTATTATTATTATTATTATTATTATTATTATTATTATTATTATTATTATTATTATTATTATTATTCATCGCACAGTCAGCCAGACGTTCAGGCTGGATTTGGCATTTTTGTCTACCAATCGAGTCCTTCCCAAGGACCTGGGACAGGCAGATGTGGATGTTTGATGGTATTACAGATATCGTCGCAGGATGGAAGTAGTTCCTAGTAAGGCCGCCTTTTTATTATTGTGACTTGGATAATTGTAAAAAGGGAAGCTGATTCAGATCTAGTTGGCTCTTTTGACTAAAGATTGCCAGGCAAACTCCCAATATGGCTAGATTGGGTCATTGGAAAAAAAAAATCCCATAAAAAAGCAATGTGAAATCACTTCCTTTTGATTTCCAGGACAACTTTTCAGACATTTTCACGAAGTTACCAAGAACTGAGCTCATCGTAAAGCTGACTTTATATTTTTACAAGTCCAATTACCGGGAGGGCACCAGGTTGGGGAAAAGTACATTATTGTAAGTCTTCCTTGCTAAACTGGTTGCTCAGGTCTTTAAAGGGGAAAGTTCCTCATTCCATCTGGCAGGAATCTCAATTGAAAACAAAGTGGCAGTGTTCTCATTTGCATGATACAGGATCAATAGACGTGCTCCTTGCTGGGGTGGAAATTTAGAACAGTAATAGCCTGCTGTGCATGACAAACAGGAGGACCGAACCCCTTTATGCTGGGACAGATTCTTGATGAGAAATTAACAGTACACCAGAAAAGCTGCCATTCTGACTCTGTTTCCAGGCTTTTAACAAGATGGATACCTTAAGGAGCTAAGTGCCTCCTCATTAAGGGAGCAAGATTTCAAAGAGGTCTCACTTTTTTTTTTTTTTTGCACCTAGCCCTGGATTCAAGTAATAATAAAAACAAAGAGCGGTAAATGTTTTGCCTGCATGTTCCTTAGAAATTCCTTTTACTGACAGAGGCAGAAAGCATCCAATATGCAATTTAGACAGAGAATATCAAGGTTTCTTTTAGATCAGTGTTTTTCAAACTTGGCAACTTTCAGATGTGTGGACTTCACCTCCCAGAATTCCCTAGGAAGCATGGGAAGTTGAAAAAATACTGATTTAGACTGATCTTTGGAGTTACATATGACGTATCAGTTGTAGGATTTGATCATACTGAAAGGAAGGAGGCAAGATTGATTCTGGTTCATTTTATTTTCCTTGGTTTCTGATGATACAGCAGCCGTGCTCTGTGATGCACCCTGAGCTTGCTTAGCTTACCATTCCCCTGGTTCTTGAAAGTTTCATTTGTATGTCAAAATAATCCCTGCTCTGTGGCAATATTGAGAAATTCTTTTGGATAAGAAAATGGATTTGTGTCAGTAAAGTCACAAGAGACTCCCTCGGGCACATGAGAAGTGTAAAAAACAGGTAGAAAGCCACATGGGAGAAATGAGGGGTAAATTCCTGTAGTGGTTTGAAGGCTGGTGAAGTGAGCTATTTTTGTGTGTTTATTTATCTGCTGGTCAACTTTATACATCACCCATCTCACTATTTAAGTGACTCTGAGCAGTTGACCAATAAAAGCTATGGAACATGCCACGTTGATAGCACTGGCTGTAGAAGCAATACATCCTACAGAAGAAAAATGGAGATGTGGCCTCATTAAGTAACATTCATATTGTGACTAGACATGGTAAACAAAGCAGCTGCCAGACAGAAAAGCCAGACACTGTAGTTCTGCATCATCTCAGAGAAGCCAGACAATAGCAGGAGCCACACACTTACACAGGATATAAGGTAAAAGGCAATGCTCAGGATCATTCAGATCCAGCTTTTGTTGACAAAAACCTCAGGGTGGGGGTTGCTGTGATGCATTTCTCATGCAAAGTAGATTGAGATGCATTGCCTGTGCTAAGGGTGTCTCCAAGGTCCTCCCGCCCTCTGATGGACATTTAACTAGGAGATGAGTAAAGTCTCACAGCTGGATATCTACATTGGACAAAAGTAGCAACAGATGTATTACTTTAGGGGGTTTTGCATCATTTCTGTTGTAGGGAGGCATGCAATTTAGCTTTCATTACAAGATTATATCATGTTACAGAAAAACGCTAGACAACATTTTCTGCTGCAATAGAGCAATGTTTCTCAACTTCATCAACTTTAAGATGTGTGAATGTTAACTCGCAGAACTTCCCCCCATTAGCATATCTATACAGGGAATTCTGGGAGTTGAAGTCTACATATATTAACAGTTACTGAGGTTGAGAAATACTGAATTACAGCAGTTTTGTGGAAGCCAAAAGATCTCATAAGTACTTGATGGTGGTCAGTAAAAGACTAAGTGCAAAAAACAATTACTTGAATGCAATTAGGGGAGTCCATAGCAATTTTTCTGAGGTAGAGTGGAAAGAGTAAAAATGCTGGCTAAAATAGCACGTAGACTTATATACCTCTTCATAGTACTTAATAGCAATCTCTAAACGGTTTACAGAGTCAGCATATTGCCCCCCAACAATCTGGGTCCTCATTTTATCGACTTTGGAAGAATGGAAGTCCTCTTGCATCATCCCTCCCTCCCTCCTTCCCTTCACCTGAGCAATGGATAGTTTGGGTAGAATCAGGTAGGAACTCCCCCCCCCCCCCCCCCCCCCCCCCCCCCNCCCCCCCCCCCCGTCGAGTCGTTGGTGCTCTCTCAGCTTGGCTATTTTCTTGCAGATATTTTGTTACCTAACAAGTAACATCTTCTGTATTAGAATGGAGTGGGGTATACTCTCTGTTTATATACAACAATTTGCCCTATTAGTGTTGTTTTGGTTTTTGCAGTTCCTTGATTAGGCTGTTGTCTGCTGTTTGTTTGTCTGAGTTGGTAGTTGATTGGGGTATTATTTACTACTTGACTGTTGGTCTAGTATTAATCCTGGTGTTATTCTCTGCTTATCTGGATGTTGATTGCTGGCAGGAAAATGTTTTGGGTTTTTTGTTAGCTTTTTGATTGTCTCTTTTAAATGGTATGTAAACGTTGTTTATCTCTATGTGCCTGTTGATGGCTGATTTGTCTGAGTATCAAGCTTTCAGGAATTCTCTAGCATTTTTGGACTTAACTAATGAATAACCAAGCTGGAGATCACCAAGGACTCCACAGTTCACCCCTGAGATACAAATATTCTCTTCTAGATCTGGGGTTCTAGGAATGATTGTTTTTAACTAACTAAGGCTGAAAAAGTTTGGAAACTCTTGAACTAGAGAAGGTCTGGAACTTCTGGATCAATGTACCAAGGGGAATGTTTAAAAGTTAGATTTGTAAAATTAATTGGTGGGTTGAAAAAGTATAAAGCAATGTTTTCCAACCAATAAGCTTTCAGATGGGCTAAGACCTAACATATCCTGGAAATGCTAGAAATGAAGTTTTAACCTACCTCTAAAATAGTGTTTCTCCACTGTGGCCATGATAATGGATGCTGCATGCTGGCGAGGGAATTCTGAGAGTTGATACCCATGGATGTTAATGTTGCCAAGGTGTAGAGCAATAGCTTGGGAGAAGTAACTTTAGATAATGTTTTTGTTCTAATCTGCTCTCCTGCAGTATTTCAATTGTGCAAAGGGAAAGTATAAATTATTGAACTGGGGAAGAAAGCTCAGATAGCAGGCCTGATGGTCTGGGTTCGGTCCATTCGGGACTGGGACAATCTATAATAACCTGGATCAAACGTACTTTTGTGATGAGGTACTTTTATGATGTGACCCAGCTCAGGTATTTATTTATTTTGTTTGCTAAATGTGCCTGAACTAATAGATACCCTTGATTCTTTGCCTATTCATGAGGGATGGTGCAAGAGTTTAAAGAGGAAGCCCTGACTCTAGTTTGAGGAAATCCCCTTTGCTGAAAGAAATATTGCTGCAGAAATATCCCTTTTTTTTCCAGGAAGGAGCCATTCTGTACATGGAAAGGAGCGGTGATCTTTGGAGGGGGAAGGGAGAAGGAAGTCCAGGAGAAACTTGAAGTCAGCTTGACTTGGTCAGGGATCATGGATCTGGCTCTCAGCAGAAGCCCAAACAGTTAATATAACTGGCTGCCCGAGGCGCTGTGAACTGGACCTCAGATGAGACTGATTCTCATTCCCTTTCAAAAAGGTCTCCTGTGGCTATCCTACACATGGTTTGAACAGGATCCAAGTGTTTCTTTTTATCAATGTTATTATTCTTTAATAACATTTTCTCATTCGTTTCTAAGGCTTTGTGTAGGTTGAGGGGTCTGGGAATTCATTTCCTTTTCTCTGTCTATTCTGAGCAAATTCCAAGCCAAGTCAGTTTTCCAGTGGGACAGGGGGAACTTAAAGGCACATCACAACAGTGGAGGCTGGGGTCAGGACACCAGTCAGGAGTGGATTAAGAAATGGGAGAGGGGCTTTCTGCTCTGGCAGACTCTGGGGCCTTACATTTCTCCGAAAAAGATATCATAATAGTCTTAAAGAAACTCTTATGCTGGCTGTCACATGAAGAGCTGAATCCTTCATTTTCTTACGGAGGGAGAGTTTTCCAGCCAATGTTATAAATTCTTTCCTGTTGTGGGAGGTTGGTTACTTTTCCCTATGAAGTGATTCAAAATTTGGAAATTCCCCATCTTGATTATTGAAATGTACTCCATGTGTGGCTGTTGTCAAAATAATAGTTGAAGCTACCAATTTTAATTGATCTGGAAGATCTAAGTGAGGGTTTGATTTCTGAAATAGCCAATAAATGGCAGGATAAAAAGTGAACATATCTGATTTTTTTTAAAAAAAATTGAATGTCTAATTCACAATTCAAATTCAATATAAATTTAAAATATTGATTTGGATCTCATTTTGTAATTTTTAGGTTTGCATTGTTTGCATGAAGACAGGATATTTGGCTGGCTTCAATATTACATTGAAATTCACATAGTGATTTTGGTTTGGCTGGACACAGACGTTCAACCATGTCTTTTTAAAAGTAAATTAGACTTTTCATATTCTTACAAGAGAGCTATTTGGAGAAAGAAGCCACGTGTATCAAATATGCAGAGAGAAGCAGATTCTCATTCCATCTAAATTATAGCATTCATCTCTTGTAATTGCTCTTTTGTAGGTGACACAATAAGTGACTTAAAATTACCTGTATCATGACAATATGCAAAAGGCATGAATGATATTTCTTTGCTATATTATCAAAAACCATAATACAGTATTAAAAAATATCACAGTACTACATTTTACTACATTCTAATGTCACTGCTGCTATTTTTGCAAAGAAACTTCAAAGTATCTCTTCTTTTATTTGGGTTTATAATGCAATTTTAAAGTTGTAGTTCGCCAAAAGCTACTGTACATTATAAATGCCACTTTGCTGCTTCTCTTCCAAATTTGGACAACCAACAAGTGAAAGAGACACTCAAAGATGATTGAACCTTCATGCGTAAAAGAGACTTGTGACCAGAAGGTCATAATGTACTATTTTGACTATTACTAGGCGGTTTGGGCTTCCTCCCAAATCATTTTGTTGATTTCCAATAAGAGAAACCAAGCTGATACGTCATTTACAATAACCTGAAGGAGAAGCCACACCGCTCTGAGCAGAAAACTGCCAAGCATGCTTTTGAACCCACCAACTGCTAAGGGGGGAAAAAATGTAGCTGAAATAGCCACTCTAGCTCAGTTACTAGATAGAAACCACTTTTTAAAAAAGTCATGTCCAAGAAGCTTTAAACAAGACTTGACAGGCAGACCACAAGTTTCGTGATTTTGGGATGGAAGAAGTTGGGAAATTCTTCATTTTTGCCAGTCGAGAAGTGAAATAAGGACATAGGCTAAATTCTAAAATCCCAGGAAGAGGATGGGATGTTTTCTGTGTTCCTTTTCAGGAAACCTTTGTCTTATTAAGCAGCAAAAACAGAAGCCTTTGGGTCCAAAGTATATGAATAGGTGGAAGGAGTGATGGGCTTATTTTGCTTATTTTGCTTCCCAGGTATGGTAATCATGGTGCCAAGGAGAGAATGTCATTTGAAATGACTGGGTTTCTAGCTGCTAGACAATAAGAGATTGTCTTTTTCAAGAGGTATATTGCTTGGAACTCAGCCTTGGCACAGGAAACCACAAGGAAGGTCATCCTTAACAATGGTGCCCTTATCGTTCTCCTTCATAGAGTTTAACTTAATTAAATGACACAATATATCCTTCTCTTTTCATCAGTTGCAAGAGAGAAAAAGAATGTTAAATAGTATTCATTAAAAACAGGATGATATATTGCAGGGATCTTCACAATCTAATTCCCAGATAATGCTGATGCATTTCCTCTGGGCACAAAAAGATGGAAAAAATGTTCCTAGTCATACTATCAAGACAAATCGGCAGACTACTTCTTAGTTTTTGAAGGAGGGATCCACAGATCTATGAATAGAGTGCAATTTTCAGAGCGTTTTGCAAATGGAAGAACAGCTGCTGGATTCTCATCCCTCTGCAGTTGAGATGGCTCTCAAGGCTGGTTTCAGGTTTGGAAGAAGGAAGAATCCGCTTGATTGTTTTCCTTATACTACTACTACTACTACTACTACTACTACTACTACTACTACTACTANAAGTTGGAAGGGACCTTGGAGGTCATCGAGTCCAACCCCCTGCTCAGGCAGGAACCCTACACCATTTCAGAAAAATGGCTGTCCAGTCTCTTCTTAAAAACTTCCAGTGTTGAAGCATTCACCGCTTCTGGAGGCAGGTTGTTCCACTGGTTAATTGTTCTAACTGTCAGGAAGTTTCTCCTTAGTTCTAGGTTGCTTCTCTCCTTGATTAGTTTCCATCCGTTGCTTCTCATCCTGCCTTCAGGCACCTTGGAGAATAGCTTGACTCCCTCTTCTTTGTGGCAGCCCCTAAGATATTGGAACACTGCTATCATGAAATGCTCAAAATTCTCACCCATTTGTCCCTTCTTTCATCAAAGCCCTATTTCCTAATGCTAGAAAAAAATCTTAATAATGGACAACTGATTGTTGGCTGCCATTAAGGACTATGTTGCCATTATTTACATTAAGACTACTATATATATTTTCCCCAGAAGTTAATAGAAAAAAAGTCAGTTAAGTGCCAGCTTATTACACAACCATTCACATTTTTCCATAATCCATATTTTTCTATCCTGCTTCTATATGGATGCCTTCCAGATGTGTGAACTCCAACTCCTAGAGTTCCTAGTGAGCACATTCAGAGGGCATTTGGATTGGAGAATCGGATGTAGTGTCTGTCTTTTCAAAATTTTAACTGTTGGATTAGTTCAATGTTCCATAAACATTAGTTCAATGTTTATGGAAGTTAAAAAAAAATCTGGGCAGAATTAATCCGGAGATAATGAAACTATTGTAATCAAGAGATCACACATGTAGACAACAGTCTGTCCCATCATTGGGGTGACACATTTTTAGTTTCAAGGAAATAGTCACTGTTTAGCCTGTCCTGAATCATCTTGCAGGCATGGTACAGAGAATAAGTACATCTGTTTGTCTGTCAAATAATAAAAAACCTACTATTTATCAAGATGATAAAGTGTTCTTTTTCACCCTCCCTCTGGATCAGACACTATTAGCTGGCAGTATCCTTTGGGCCAAGTTAAAGATAATATAAACCTGTATGGTTACAAAATTATTTTTTAATGAAATCATTTTTCAGTAACTTATTCCCTCCTTTAAAAAATCAGCACAACTAAATTACATGTAATATTACAAATATATATGTTTCTTTATGCAGTAGGACTGCTTCTGCATGGCACCAGTCTCTACGCTAACTTAATTTTCTTGTTGCACTTTTGGAACAGGGGTTTGGGAATTTGTTCCACTCAGGAAGCTCTTTAATCTGAAGATAAACATGGATGCCACCTTTTAAATCTTCACTCTGTAACTGGGTGAGACTCCATAATGGGATACTGAGGTACTGATTGTGAGTAGGGATTATTAGAGATTATGAAGGCTAGGAACGCAAAGAGAGTTTTCCTAGGGCTTTGTCATTTTTTATTTCAGTTCATATGGCTGCTTATCTCAACATTATGGCTAACAATTAAAAATATAATATAAAAACAATGCGATTAAAAAAACCCAATAACCATCAGCCCAACCATACCATAGACACAACTATGTGTTCTGACTCCCCTGTGTAGTCGTAGCCAAGCCATGAGGGTCATGCCTACTCATAGAGCCAAGTCTTCAAGGCCTTATGAAAAGTCCACAAAATTGAGGCTAATCTGATCTCGGGAGACGGGGGATGAGGTTCCAAGGAAGAAGTATCATGCCAGAAAAGGCTCTGTTCCTGGGTCTTGCCAAGTAACAATCTTTGCTGGATGGGATCCATAGCATGCCTCTCCTACTGAATCTGTGGTGGGATAGGAGGACACAATCAAGGAGAGGCAGTCCTTCTTGTCCCTCATCATCCTGTCTAGCAACAGATGCTTGCAGTTCCAAAACTGTCCAGAGTAGATTAAGCCAAAACATTGGATTAACCCCAATAAATAAACAAACATTGTTTGTTTATTTATATGGCTGAATAATTCCAATAGTGTCAACCCTGTGCAGTGTGCAAGAAAAACACATAAAGAACAAATAAATATTAGTATACAATGTTAAAAAAAATCTTAAACAATATAATGCAGGTGTGTCAAACTGCTGGCCCGTGGGCCAAACATGTCATCTGAAAGCCACGCCCACCCCATTGCTGGCAATGGCAAAACTGTCCCAATATATTGTGCGACGTCATGTGACATCACGAATTTGACATGTCTGATATAATGTATAAAATGGTGACCAAAACAAATCATATGTCTGTGGAAACAAACTGATCTTAATAGCTTTTCTAAAGACAAGAACCTGGGAAGTTGATGGCTTTTAACATGTGAAATGAGTGCTTTAAACACTGGAATAACCTAAGATACCATATCACTGCTCAACACTTCTGAAATTCTGTCCCAACATGAGCCCTAAACGAGAGAGTACATGCAAGGCCCTAACGATGGCTGTGAGAAAGTTTAATTGAGAAGGTTTTAAATGATTTTGGTTATTATTCTTTACTCTACCTGAGCATTTCTAACAAAAAAAATATATGCAAAAAGTCCTCCAGTAGTCTCAGACCAAGCAAAGTGAATCCAGGGCAGGTGCTACAGTCAGGCAAAATACACTGTTATCAAGACTGTAGCATTTCAGTGGAAACAGATTTATCCTAGCAGCTATGTATGTTAAAAGTACATTAATTGAAATTATCATCATAATAACCAGGTTGTGTTTCTGTGGCATGTTTGCAGAAATGACTGAATTAATACTGGGTTAATACATCTGTCATCTGCCTCTAGAACATTGGTTTGAATGGGAAAAAAATATTTCTTGATTGTGCTTTGGAATTAAGAGCGTGGCACTTAAAAGAAACATTTCACCAAAGCTCAACAAAGTGATATTCCTAAGCATTTCTACTCAAAGGCTGAGTTCACCCCACATGCTAAACCAAACTCTTTGCTTTTTAGTGGATTAGAATCTTGGGTGAACCCAGCCAGCAGGATCTGTAAACCATGAAACACAGTTGAGTGTATTACATAAAATCAGATAACTGCCTTGAGGGGTAACTGACTTATCAGGGTTACAGTAAGTGTTTGATTGCACAACAGATCATCTGGTCCAGATATTGCTGTAGGCAGAAAAATACCAGTCTTCTCCTTAGAATCTCCTTAAGGAAACATAAATAGAATTCTGTGGGTTCTAAGGCAAACTGCTCATCTGAGCTACAAATCCCAAATTACTACAAAATGACACTTCAGTTTTTCTGGCACCCAGGGGTTTGCAGTCCAGATAAAGCAATAGCAACAGCACTTAGACTTCCATACCACCCCACAGTACTTTACAATGCTCTCTGGGTAGTTTACAGTGTCAGCATATTGCCCCCAACAATCTGGGTCTTCATTTTACCAACCTCGGAAGGATGGAAGGCTGAGTCAACCTTGAGCCCCATCAGGATCAAACTCCAGGCTGTGGGCAGAGTTTGTTTGCAATACTACATTCTAACCACTGCACCACCAGGGCTCCTTATGGGATGTTGTCCTCTTGCCTGTCTTTCCTTCACTGTTGGGATGGTGGGGGAGATGAAGAAGACGAAAAGAGCAGCCAACAGCAATCACCCTCATCTTCAAGGCTCTGTTTCCATTCCTGTTACTGCTAGCTGAGGCAAAGACTGACTCAGGAATGAAGTAGAAGTAAAAGTGGCAGCAACACCAGGGCTGGAAGTTCTTTC